ACGATCAAAAGATAAATTTTATACAAAGTAGAAATCTTGGAAAATGAATTTTCTTACGTCTGATCAGTGAGTTTATCAGAAAATGTCAGTCATTTCAGTTGAATTGAGGGTTTTTAATCAGAATAGTGAACTTATTGCGGGTCAGCCGATCAATTCCGATTTTTTAGTGGATTAATGTTTGCTTTCAATGGGTCGAAGCAACCGTTGGAACGCTAAACTCACATACTTCATGTCTCCAACACTGAGAAAGTAATTGAACTCAGTTGACTCGATAATCGCGACGACTAGTGCGCATACAACACTTTATATTACACCCTGTACCTTCTCCATTGGTCCGACTTGATTTTAAAAATAAAGAAAATGAACGAATACTACACTCCGAATTTTTCCATTCACAATTTGATCTCCTGAGACAGTAACAAGAGTTTTTTATCCTAAAATCATTATTTTTATCCTCGACGAGATAATTCAACAAGTGAAAATGGAAATTTAATTAATGGAACGAATAGAAATTATTTCGCGAATATTTTCAGAACTAATTAATTTATAATGAAGATGGTGGGAAAATCGATAATAAAAAATTTGGAATTTTGATAAAATTATTGAAGAAAAATCCTGGAGAATCAGAAAAATGCGAGGGAATTTTGGAAATTCTGAATTCTCTCACATTTTCCCTGACATTTCCATTATAATTCCCGTAAATTCATAACAGAATGTGCAAATGAAAATTCACTATTAACGACGACAGTTTTATCTCGCAAATTATCAATTAAAATTAAAAATATTGAGGCATTTTTTCCAGACTCGATACTATTTTTGATAAATCAATATTCATCAAAACTCTAAAATCCAATCCACCTCACATTACAAGAGATAAAAAATCTAAGAGTCCATGATATTAAAATACTTATACACAACATCGACTAATGAAACACTAGTCAAGTGCACAATTTACACTTGTCCTATATAAACACGTTAATTATAAAAATCAGGACTAGTTCGTTGGCAAGACAAGAAGTACGAGAGCGAGAGGGAGAGGGAAAAAAAATCATTTGAAAAGACACTCTGCACTCTATAAATGAAACTAACCTCCTTGACATCTGTTTGCGCACGCATATCGCTGATATTTTGCATTGAATGCAACATCGATGACATTATTTACCCGATCATGTGTGAAGACACTATTACAAATCCCCATAGAAAAATCTAATAAAAACGCCTATAAAACAGAGGTCAATTCCGAGTCATAAAAACATAAAAAACATCCACGTATACTTTCTAATTATAAATAATTCCAATAAAAAAAATTCACGAGAATTTTTTTTTGAGAATTCAATAATTTTTATCAACTGATAACAGAATATGGAACTAATTTCTCTGATAAAGGAGAATTAGATTAGAATTTTTATCGAGATAAAGGGAATAGCTTTGTTTTCTTTAAGTCCTGGTCAAGGTCAATGTTAAATTTTCATAAAATTTCCCAGAAAAATTTTTAGGGCTTTGATGATTAAATGATTTTCATGTGCCTATCGTAAGTGGAAACGTCATTGCATTCAACTGTTTAATCAGTTGTAACGATCGAGAGAATAATTATCGTGGGAACCATAAAAAATGTCGTCGTTATTTTTAATCTTCATATCAAGACCGAAACACACGTTTCCAATGGAATTGATCAGGTGTTGGAAAATTATTTCCCAATGCCCTATCATTTTTCTCATTTTTTTATATTTTTTTATACGACGAATTGAATTTGAATTCAAAACATTTAACATTATTACATGTCTCATCAATAAATAAAGCCGTTAATTTTTTTTCTCTCGTTGAACTATTGGTGATTTTTCAATGAAATCTCGAATTTTCAAAATTGTCTCGACAATTGAACATCAATTACAATTCAATTCTCCATTGCTTGAATATTCAATTTAGAGAATTACATGAATATTTAAGAGAGCAATTGACTAGCCGGAAATTTTCAAATTAAATTTTCTAATAGTACGGGTTTTATGACAAAATTTTGTTTGCCTTGGGTGAAATTCTGAAATCTCATGTCACGTGTTAACATGGGGTTAGAAGTAACTACAAGTGCTACGAGTGCTACCATGTTGTCACAGCATGGCCAACCATGCCTTCACAAAATTCACTGTCACCGAAAACTTCTTTATCGACTCATCCCGATTTTCATGCCAAATCCTCACGGAATTCAATTTCCACAACAATAAAAATGATTATTTATAAAAAATATTCCCCGCATACTGAAACCGGAATTTAATCATTGCATAATTATATTGCAAATTATAATGGAGAATCATCATCAAAATCTGAAAGACTGACAAAATCCTAAATTATATTTTTTGAATTTCTGCGTGCTCATCCGATTTTTTTTTAAGATTTATAACACCTATCATTTTGAAATAAACAATAAAATTTTGAATTCCTCATCAGAATTACAGATTCCGAAGACAAAATGATTCTAATGAAATCATGAATTTGCAAACAATGAAAGGAACTCATAAAATTAAGTGAAACATAATGGAGAATAAAAAAAAATAAAATAGAAACAAATTCCCCACAAAATAATTTAAAAAAAAAACAGCAAAACTCACAATCCCTAAAGATCACTAGAAACATTGCAAAAACATTTGCGAGCAGTGAGTAATGATTTTCCTCAATTACTCCTGCAATCCCGAGACGTCAAACCCCAACTGTCAAAAAATCTCCGACAGTTGAACAATGGCTTAAAAAATCGTCTGGAGGATTGAAAAAAAAATGTTGACAGAGAGAAAGTGTGAAAAAAACGAGCCATTTGGTGCTTCGCTAATGTGGCAAAAATATTTCTCGTGGGACAGGGACAGATCATGAGCCCAAGCCATCACCACGTGGCGAACGTCTGGATTCCTGACGCAACACGGGGTTCACACGACCGCCAACACGGAACCAACACCAAACCAACACGAATGCCCCAACGCGCTTTCCACCACGCGGTTACGCATTCAGACATTTCAGAGCTCCAGTGTAAACCGCCAAAAACTGTCATTTCTTATCCGCTTTTCCCTCACCAAAAACCATCAATAAATAATTCATTTAAATCCCCAATCTACGGAAATCTGAAGGTAAATTTTCCCCTACTAACTCCAATTAATTCCTAAAATTCACCTTCACTCCATAAAAAACACCGCGAATTTATTGATATAATTGAGTGTTTTATCAAATCAATTGGGTAATAGAATTTATGACAGAATTATGCAACGGAATTTGTGAGGGAATTTTAATTACAATAATTCAATGACATGAACGATTTTCGTGGGATATTTCAGGTTGAATCACGGATAATTCTTAGCAGAATGCCATTTGTCCACCGAGAAATGGAAAAATTATGATAAACCGTTAAACTAAACCGTTCATCACCTCGTGTCACCGCTGCAACATAAATAATCAAAACAACCGGTAAAAATCTATTGAACCAGTTCTCGGTACCTTCCTGTCGCCAGCAGGAAGCCTGAATAATTCCCGCAAAAAGATAAACCTAAATCAATATAAATACCTCAAGAAATAACTTTCTATTTATCCCAGGATTATCAAAAACCTCGTGGCGAGTGATTTTTATCGTCAACGATGAATGTAATGAGGACCTCGTGGCAGATTAATTATTCATCACCATCCCAATATCCGATCCACCATTTTGTGGGATCAGAGGTTGAACAATCGTGAAAAAAATATATATTCCTGTACCCTTTGTTGCCGTCAGACTGCGAAAGCGGAAGTTATTCCTTGTTCTGATGAAAGAAATTCAGTGCACCTGGCACCCCCTCCCATCCTCTCACCGAAAATATCAATTTTCAGAGGTCGAAGGAAACTTTATAATAAAAAAATATGGAAATGCGGGTTAAACGTCAAACTCTGTCATTTCAAATTTTTTCAAATTCAAAATCCTGCAGTGAACTACTAGAATAAATGAATTGACACAGCTCCCCGATAAAATTTTCGATTTTGCGGAAGTATCTCCAAAACTAGGAGGGATAACTCAATTTTCGTTGGAACCTTTTTTCTCGAGGCAATTATGGGCTACAAGAAAGGTTCATATAAAAATTTTGCTATAACCCTTCGTTTCGGAGATATTTTGGAAAAACTCACCGAAGAGGTGAAGTCATCCAAATTCGAATTTCGAGCGCGTCCCTCCTGATTTCTGGACTTGAATATTAATTTGACAAATTGTTCCGCCAAGATTCCAGGATGTTTCGGAGTGCAATACTAAAAATCTGTCCCTAAAAACAAATCTTAAGTGGGAATTCTCTGACAATATCCTCTCTCGTGTCCCCAAACACCCGAAACCTTCGACTTTATCCTCTCCTCATACCCCACTCATCACCTCCCATACCTGCAAAATTGCTCAATCCACAATACCACCTAGAAAAGTCATTTTGCCCCGGACTTTGCCTCATGTCATGAATTCCTCGCGCTTTTTTTTTCCCCTCCCATTCCCTGAACTTTGCTCTCACACCAATCACCACTGAAAATCCCACAATCTCCCCCCAAACTCGAAAAAATAAATAAAGACATCGGCAAAAACCGTTTGAATCATGTAACACAATGATGCAAAGGTATTACGACGTCTTCGCATGCGGTGAAAAAAAAAAAGGCGAAAAAAAGAAAAACGCAAACGAGAAAAACATGAGATGCCCCGTGACAGCTGCGCCCGCCTGGTTGCGCATTGGTATACCGCATGTATTATAAAATAAAGAGATACGAAAAGTCAACTAGAGAAAGAAAATAAAAACATTGGAGAAAACAAAAAAAAATCGGCATAAAAACGTGAAGACAGCGGAGGGAATAAAATGAAATAAAAAATGAAATAAAAGAAAAAAGTCTCAACGAGCGGAAGCATAAATTCCTGAGGGAATGGTCGACGAAATGAAGATTAAATAATCAAGAGATTTTTGGTTAAAATATATAAATAAAATAATAGCATGGCGATGTGACAGCTGGGACTCGTTCGATCTTACCTGGCGACAGTACTGCCGGCCTGTGAGTAAATCTCGAGTCCCTGCCACCATTCTGCCCACGACGATGATCCAAATGATGGGAATGATGATGATGATGTGAATGATGTTCCTGCATACCTGTCCTATCACCATTTATCCTCTGCTCCATGTGCAAAGCAGCTGGAGGAAGCATTGTGATCCTTTCACTTCACAAACTGCAAAACGATGAAAAAAAAAAAAACCACGAAAACCGGTGGAAAATTCACTGTCACTCACGAGAGTCCATCGACCAATTATCGATCGACTATCAGTTCACGTCGAAGCTCAATCAATCACTGAAATAATTACACACCCGGTGAATTACCTCACGTGCACTTGTCACTCGTTTAACCGTCAAAAAAATTCCCGGTAAAAATCCCAATCAAACTCCCCAAATACCCGAACAACGTTCATTCACTGGTTAATTAATGTTCGATAATTAATCGAAGGTTAAGCACATGGTGTAAAGAACATTGGAATAATGACACTGATGTGAGAGCACGTTGTGATCTGTACGCGGGACATCGGCGTCGTGCACAATTGCCTCCATTTGACGTTGTGGCGCCTTTTTTTTTTATTATTTATTTGGACATCCACCGGGGGTCTCCAATTCACAAAATGGAATTCTGAAGTTTATTGATTGTATTAATTGAGTTGATGGGCTTTGTCGGCAAATTATGCCGAATGACGGGGAGAAATAGTGGGAAAATTTTTTTGCGCGGTAGCGTAAACACTACTCGAATGCCAAAATGCGACTGAAGCTCGCAACCACGCCGACGCCGGCTTGACAGGCCGCATCACGACCCCCCTCCACCCCCACTACCGTCCCCACCTTTAACAGCTGCCCCCCCTCTGCCTTGGCTGCGCCAGTGCCGTCTCACTTCCCCCACTATGGCCCACTCCAACGGTTCACACACTCCCTACTTCTCTGCGCACGGCCATTACCAGTTGGCGGGAAAATCTACCCCATGACAGCTGCGGCTTTTGCACGCGCAAAATCACCGATTACAGAACGTGGGTTATGTATTTAGGTAAGGGACGCCTTTCTCCGGGATTGGAAATTCTGTAGATGGCAGTAGATTGGGCGAATTTTCATGTGCATTTTTACAGCTTAGGGCATTTGCTATCAGTTTTTCGGTTAAATTAATCGTGGTTACTGCTTGTTCAGGTAAAGTTAAAAATGTTGATTGATTTAAATTAAAGGATGATTAAATTGGAGTTGAAACTGTTACATATGATTGGGGCCCTGGATGGGAAATATTGTTTTGGGGGAAATGAGTTTTCGGTAATTTTTATTTGAATTAGTGACGTCGTTTGGGGGGTCGAAAGATGAAAATTGCGTAGAAATATTTTTTTTTAATTTTTATCATACTAAATTTTATGGTACTGGCAAGAATTTTTTTTCCATACGCCCTGCAAAAATAAAAATTTATGTCAGAAGCCCTGAAAAGTCCCCTTTTTCACTTCTTCAATTATGAATAACCCGATCTCTTTTTTATAAACAAAATAAATTTAAACTGGAAATTTTGTCGTCTGCAGTCCCATGGGAAATTTCTATCGGACTGCAGGTGATTATTACGAAAAGGTATTTACCTTTCTTTAATTACTTTTTGTGGTGACTATGAGAATATGTTTTCACACATTTTACCCATAGAATTTGTAGCTGAATAGTGATGTCACTCTGTATTTCAACACCATACGTGCTTAATCAGCAAACGATAACAAGACTTCAATGAGCAGCTAATTGTTAACAGAATATTAACAAAGCAATCTTTTAACGTCCGTTTCTTCTTTCGTCTAAAGCAGGAAGTCCATTGACAAAATTATTAATTATCTCGAATATTTAAACTCGAATAACACATTTTTTCTCCACATGTGTACAGGAGATACGACCTTTCATTATTTATCACTCGAACTGACGTTTATCTATCACATTAAAAATAAATTCAGAAATTAAAAATAAAAATTACCCAATAAAAAAACTTGGCAAAAATTGGATAAAAAATAAAGATGAAAAAATATGAATAAAACAATTAATCAAATAAATAATTTATAAAAAAATTATTCTGTCGTATGAGGACCTGGATCGATGTTTATTGCAGTCATGTGCTTGGGTATATGTCAGTGCTTGTACAAAATGATGAAATTTCAGCAACAATTTGCGAGTTGTCGAGCAATTGAGATGTACCCAGATTATTTCGGGAATTCTGGAGTTGTACCTCGAGATGTTGAGTCAGTCGACAGTCGGGTGACGCTTTAAGCGCCATATTTATTTCTAGGCTCGACCACGTGGTACCTGATCGCGATAATTCCACCCAGAAGTAGTCAATAAAAATTAAAGTATTATTTCCGTAATTCCAGATTACAATACCGCCACGTAACCCGATTCCATCTTCTGCAATTTTTTATGAATATTTTTGCCGGTGCAATTTATTGCTCACTTCACCAGGAAAATGTACAATTTTCCCCCATTTGTTAATCAACTTCGTTATTCTCACTGTTTATTCATGTGAATAAAATTACAGATTAAAAATAGAATGAAGTATTATTCCGTTAAATTGTGATTTGATTTTCATAATTTATTTCGGAATTGTTTGAATGTGAAAATCCGAAAAATTTCATTTTTATTGACTAATGATTTAAGAGGAGTCTTTAGAACAATTCTTTACGTAAAAAATAAAAAACTATTTATTTGAATTTGTGTCTTGATATGCCATTTTTTTATTCAGCTTGTACGCAGTTTTCGCGGTCGACACACCGGGCGTAAAGTCTTACTTTACGGACGGAGTGAAAAAAATATATTATTACTGTTTTCATACTGTAAATTGATAATAGTAGATAATAACAGTGTAAACTGACAGTTGAAAGGATGACACCGGCCGTAAACCAGTGGTTTGCGGACTGAAGAAAGAAAACCATCTATTAATTACTCCCAATAAAAAAATTAAATTAGACAGATGGATCAAATTTACTTTGTGTTTAATATAATATATTTATGTGTTTTTACCCGACAATGTCGATATCCTCAGGTAAAAATGATGAGACATGATTAGATCGAGGGAAACAATTCAGACTTGAGCCGATGTCTGTCCGATACCGAGAAGTATGCCATCCAATTTGGCCACGGCGCGTTGCGAATCTGTGACATGAGGTCCAATGCGGCTGTGGGACAATCCTGAACGATCGATAGACAGCCTGCTGTGCAAATCTGCGTAAAGCCTATTCATCCTGGAATAAATGGCCCATGAATGCCACCGGGAATCATGTGTCGAGTAATATTTATTGAGTTTTTACTGAATCTCGGAACTTCTCTCTGACGAAAACGATTATATTATTTGTGTTATGAAAATTCGATGTGACGTTAATATCGGTCCAACGTTGGCGCAATGCTGTCCCAATATTGGCTCAGTGTTGGCGTAAGGCTGGCGCAATGTTCACCCAATATTGATTCAATGTTGGTGAAATTATTTTGGTAGAAAAATTGATAGAAAATTGTTGATGCACAAAATGAATTATAAATGCAAATATATATGGAATAATTCGGAAAATCGATTGGTATAGAATATCAATTTTACCATCTCCTGCTTTGAATGCAAGAGCAAGCGAATTCAGGAGAAAATAACAAGGGCATAACAATAACGAAAATATTTCCATTGATGGGCGTGTGCAACACACGTTTATGAGAAATTTTCTCATTTTTTTAAATTTTTTCGAGACCGAAAAATATGCACCATGTGAGAAGTCACACACTGTGGGTCTCCAGGGCTTGCACATGTCGAGACGTGTCTCGTGTCACAATGGCCTTTCCAAAGGAAAACCTCTGTTGAATCATTTATCATTTGTTCATTTACTTGCTATCCAACCGAAGAAAAATATTAATGTAACGGTGGCAGCGGTCTCGAGCTGTATGTAAACATGCAATATTTTGTCTTCAAACAATTGTACCACACTCTATAGAAACATTTCAATAACTATTGAGGAGTCATTGAGGTGATCGGCGTGGATAATTGGAGGTTTTTGTGACACTAAAAATGGGTCTCCACTCATGTATGACTTACAATTATCGAAATGTTATTATTTTAATTTGTTTAAGTAATTCGCTTGGGGCTTTTAGTTTCAGAGAGCACGTGTGTGGGACGCTTCCATCTACAAACCTCCATATCCTGACAACTACCATTCGTAGAGATGTAAGTTGAAAACCATTTTATTTGTTATAAAATTTCCTATGTTTATCATACAGGAGGTCTCCATGAATTCTCACTAGTTATAAATAAAAAATTTGAAAATTATATATTGCATAAATTCCCAATTAAATTGACAGAAAGCGATTTCTTGTTTCGGGTTACATCAATTGTCGGGTAATTTTTCATGAATAATTCTCCTTGTGTAATAATTTTTCTCAATGTGTTGAGACAATTCCTCCACACACTGGGTTCATCTTAATTCCGTCTGTCCTTGTGGTTGACAGTCCGTAACGCGATTTAAACGTAATGCGCCCGTCGCGTATTCTCGATGTAAAAGTAAACGTGAGAGGGAATAAACGTACTTGTAAAGAAGATCCGTGCAAAATGGAGTACATGATAAAATGGGATGAAGCAGGAGGTGCAATGGGAGACGAGGAAAAAAAAACGATAGTAAGACTTCATTATTCAGCATTTTAATTTTCCAAAATTTAATTACACTTGACTAATTAGAAAATGTTAAATTCTCATATTTTCAAAATTAGAAATTCACATTTATCTGGCGTATGTTTGGGGATTTTAGAAAATCAAAAAACGAGGATAAATTAAATTATCGGAAATTTGTTTCCAACATTTTTTGGTGAAAAAAATAAATGACTGGGAATGAGTTAAAAACGCTTTTTTGGGAGTGTCCCATTTTTTTATTGTGTCCCATTTTGCTCGGGTCTTCTCTGTATGTGATGTACTCGTGTGATGGAGTAAAGTTTTATGAATGAAGTAACGCCCACGAAAGCCAGCGGAAACCACTTGTTTTCCACATTAGTTGCGGGGACACTTCATCGCGAATACAAACTACCTGCTGTAACGTTTACATTAGTATTTATTGTACATGTACATTTGTAAATGATAATTTACTATGGAGTAAGTGCGCTCGGTCCTTGATTCATGGAAAGAAAATCGAGGTTAGTGAGGCCGCAGGATACATCCGGACACGTTTGTCCTACTGGTGAATAAAAAAGAATAATTTCATAACGAGATGTGTGGATTATGGAAATTGGAGGGTAATGGGGGATTTTATTTTCTGGAAAATTGAGGGAGGATGTCGCGAATTATTTGATGAGACTTTTTCAATCGAGTGTGTACTTATGTTGGTTGAAAATTATATTCAGAATTAATTTGAAATTTTAAGGAAAGAAGTGGACATTTTTTACGGTCAAAGGGATACGGCGGTTTTTTGAGAATTTCTTTTTTCAAAATTTTGATTCCTCTGGATTTTCGAATCGATCGAGAACTCACATTTAAAATTGAAAAAAAAATTCCAGATTAATTCTCAGATATATCATATCATAATATATCCTAGTATATCATAATATTCACTCCTCAAAAAACCAATGACTCCTTAGAAAAAAAACCAAAAATTCAGTGAATATTTCCAATTAAAATTGAATTCAATTTCCCATACCAAAAAATTCCATTTCCACAGTAAAAAAAAATTCCAGATTAATTCTCAGATATATCATATCATAATATATCCTAGTATATCATAATATTCACTCCTCAAAAAACCAATGACTCCTTTAAAAAAAAACCAAAAATTCAGTGACTATTTCCAATTAAAATTGAATTCAATTTCCCATACCAAAAAATTCCATTTCCACAGTAAAAAAAAATTCCAGATTAATTCTCAGATATATCATATCATAATATATCCTAGTATATCATAATATTCACTCCTCAAAAAACCAATGACTCCTTTAAAAAAAAAACCAAAAATTCAGTGAAAATTTCCAATTAAAATTGAATTCAATTTCCCATACCAAAAAATTCCATTTCCACAGTAAAAAAAAATTCCAGATGAATTTTCAGATATATCATAATATATCCTATGATAACCAAAAGCTATACCGAAGGGCCCGAAGCGATAACACAAGACCGATTTTATTCTAATTTATCACAGTTCGTTTTTCATGACCTTCCAGACTCCTGATAACTCCATTACGGGGCCACCAGGCTGATAGAAATAACTCTGAATTTCCTTTAAATCTCAGACAGCTCAATTTTTTGCCACATCTCTTCAACTCTAAGATAACGGAGTGGTTAACTATAAATTTTCACGCATTAATCGAGATTTGTTGATTACAGTCCCTGAAACTTTATCAGATGTGGAGAATCTGGTCTGTGATAATTGAGTGGACTTCAGCCTCGTTTGAATGAGCATCGAGACCTTGGAGTGATGCCAAATAATGAGCAATGATGATTAATTTTTTTTTATTCCGGTAAAGAGAGTTCATCAACCGTCGCAGCATTTGCAAAGCTGTTATCAGGATTTAGAAACATTTACAGCGATTACGACAGGTTAATGTTCTTCAGAAACAATAAGACTATTAGAATAATTGCTCATTTTTATTATTATATTTCATTAAATATGTGTTTCTCCCCGATGAGCAGAAAATAATTTACTCAACAAATCATAAATTAATTATTAATTAAATACTGAGGACAGTACAATAAATAAATTAAGTGAGGCGTCAACAAATGAATAAATATTTTATATTTATGTAATCAATTGATTTATCGATTAATTAAAGATTATTATTGATGATAGAATATGAATGGTACTGTCGAGTAAATTGAGATGTAAAAATAAATGTTGGGTTTAATGATGTGTTTTAGATTTTTTTTTGAGTAATGAGTGATTTCTTGTAGTTCGGTGCGAATTCTCGTGGAATTCCCTGACTAATGCACTCATGAATTTTCCCATACATACAGTTAGGACGAACTGCAGTTAATTAATTCATTTGTGTTGATAGTTCTCTCAATTTACGTTAACCATTAGTTATCATGCATTTATTTATGGGGAGTAAATTTGAATAGTGAATAAATTATTTACTTTTCTTGTCCTGTTTCTCAGACACCTTTACACGTAGAATTCGATTATGATAATTGGCGATTAAGTGAGTGTGCGCTAAAAAGTTCTCGTCAAACAGGATGATTTTTTTTTTTAGGGATTACATGTTTTTTTTAAGGAAATGGAATTGATGGCACCGGAACATTTATTTTATGCAAAAAATGGGTTGATTGGTTGGATTTGAATAATTACAGAAAGGAGAGGCTTCAATAGAAGTTTTGAGATTTAATTTTTATGAGTGAATTTCATAAAGAAAAAATTCTGTCAGGTTTTCTTAAAAACATTTCCATTTTGATGTTTTAAGATTCTACCTGTCGTTATCAGAATTTTATGGTGAAGGAATCTCGGAAAATCTCGCGTCACGAAAAACCGAACGGAAGTCGCGCAGTCGACGACTGCGCATGGAGGGGATAGGATGGCCAGTGACAAGAGATATTTCATTGGCAACAAAATTCGTGATATTTCAAATAATTAATTTTCATTATGAATATAATTTCCCGGTGATACTTTTTACCCTCTAAATATCAAGTTATAATAAAATAAAAACGAGAAAAATCAGAAGAGTGACAACTGCGTTATCTTATCACTCACCGTCGCCAGATTGTATATTCATTTCAATTTAATGTAGAATAAGAAAATCGTAGAGTCGAGTGTATCTTCGTGATAAGAGGAGGAAGGGGTCCTTGTAATTTCACATATTTTTTTCATCAACTACTATCTCCGATTGTGATGTCATACTAGCGTAATATCAAGAGGAAAGTTTTGATGGGGGATTTGCAGGTGCTCGATTAATTTATGGGGCTTTATCTTTAATTACCCGTATGAATAATTCCCCTGAATTCAGATTCCATCGGAACGCATATCAATTCATCTAATCAATCGACGCAAAAATTGAACAGTCAGATAATCTAGGATAATTAATGTGATTAATGTTTTAGAAGTAGTTAACATCAGATAGATTTTATCTGTCGAATTTTCTTCGTCATTTTAAATTGAAATATTAAAGAAAGAAAAATTTTCACTCTTGTAGAATAATAATAAATTAGTAGCGAAAGGATTGATTCAACTAGTGGTTCAGTTTTCCTGAAATATCTCTGAATCTAAGACAGATAACAAAATTTTTCTCAGAACCTTTTTTCCGGAGTGAAATTAGCGCAACAAAAAAGATTCCGACAAAAATTTAACTATCCCCCACAGATTCTGAGATATTCATAAAAAACTCAGTGATCGATTTCTTACGATTCACATCTTCAACACTGAATTATTATTATTTATTAACAAATACTGCGAGCTGATCTCAGCAATTAAAATTCCAAGATATGAGTTTCATTATTTTTTCTAGGCAATCTGATAATTTTTTTTAAGTCGGGGTAAAATGGTAGCTTTGATGTGATAAAAAATTGAAAACGTGCGGAGAATGTTTGGGAAATATTTATAAGAGTGTGAAGAGGGTAAAAAGCATTTAAAATGAAAAAAAAGGGTAGAAAATAGTTGAACAATCGTTACAAGCGTTGGATTTAGTCTGCCTCGTTCCACCGTCATCTCGTCTCTAAGTTTAGCATGAAGAGCATTTCGTTTCAAAAGACAGTTGTCTCCTACGAAGCCATGTCTATGCCACCAGTGCACCCTATCACCTTTCATTCTTTTTGCATCGTCGGAGTAACCGCGACCTGCATTACACACTCTTATAATGCGTTTGGGTCTTCGTGTCTCATCCAACGTATCTCGTGCACTTGCAAATTACAACGCTCACTCTTGGCAGAGGTAACTAAAATAGGTGCAACCTAACTTGTCTTTGCCAATACATACTCCAACACGTAAGTGAGTCATGTGGCTTCGAGTTGTTAAGTATTTTATTGCACTCCGTGTGAAAATGTCGGGGATAACTCACGGTGTGGAAAAATTAAAGGACTACACTGGAAAAAATTATTTCTTTTGCAAAATATATTTTTTTCCAACAGCTTATTCCGTAATCACTGTATAAATACTCCTATGAGATATATTCTGATAATTTCTTTATCATTTCTTTGGATGTGAAAATATTTTATGTTTTGATTCAACTTGAATTTTTATTTTCAAATTTAATGTTTTTGGAAGAGTTCATTCTGTTAATTATGTTATCAGAAATAGTAAAATAGGATCTGAAAATTTTTCGAGGCCAGTCTCTAGCGAATATCTCGGAATTGAAGGCAGATGACGATTTTTTCATAGATACCTTTTTTGTGGGTCTCTTTTTTTTCTATAAAAAATGTTCATATGAAATCTCCGTATGTTTCTTCAGTTCCGAGATATCGGCTGAGAACTAGACTCGAAAGAAAATCATCTCGTGAATCCCATGTACTTTAATATTTTCGCAGTTTACATAAAATAAATATACAGTATAGTATATTCATTGATTGGAATGATATGAAAATATTTTTAGATATCCTGAATTGTTGAATATTGAAAAGATAATTGAATAACTTGCAAATATATTGAGCGGTTTCGATTCAGGACTCGATGGACCACAGAAATTTCCCCGGATTTCATTTTGAATCACATATATCGGAGGTTAATTAACACAGCCTCGCTAAATACCTTGCATAAACTCATACTTTATTTTTCTAAACTATTTCAGTGAATCTCCCGTGGCCGCGGAGTTTACCCACTCGTTAGCTCATTCGCGTCAAGTGGTTTTCTCGTTCGTTTTTATTTTTGCCACCATAAGAACACCAAGAAGATGAAAAAAATTAGTAAATTAATGATTAATCATTAATAGAACTCATTAACCAAGCGCACAATGTTCCCTATAAAATTCTACCCAAAAAATTAATTGACAATTAATTAAGTAAATCATATAAATTACCAACGGATAAATAGTAATATTGATAAAATAAATATCTTCAATGAAAATAGTGGAATATGAATGGAGAAATTTTTTTGGTTGATTTGAAATTTAAAAATAAATCGTGGAATCTCGAATTTCACGGCTTAATTCACCCTCAGTGTCACTGCCCTGAGAATTTTTCTTTTTATTGTAATCTCGGAATTAAAAAATAAAAATAAACGAGATAAACAGCTCGATGGGTTCTATATATATCGACATCCGGAAAAGCATTTGAAGATGCGCCAAAATTGCTCCATTTGTACTACAATAAATTCTCTAGACTGGTTTACGCCGGTCCTGGCTGAAGATTTTATTATTGGTAATGCACATCAAAGTATCCATTAGGAAAAAGAAGAAATGGACGATTTGTATATATTGTATAATCTCTCATCATCTAAAAAAATTACAGATTTATTTGAAATCTGAAAAATGAATATTTCTGGTGACATGAACTTGAAAATTCAAGTTGTCATTGAATTCCCAACAAATTCTGGTTTGAAATCCATTTCTTCTCTCGAAGTAAATAAACGCAACGAACGTTATTTATCATGGTGTTTCCTCAAGACCGTTTGCACAGTAATTCTGTGGGGAGATATGAAAGAAGGAGCGAGTGAATACCTGAGTATTTTCTCAGATATATTTATTTGTACCTCCGTAAAATTCAACACAGATAACGCCCCCCACTAAAGATTAAATAATTCTTCCAACCGAGAGATTAAAGGCATGAATCTATAACCGGAAATGGTGGAAATAATGTGCAATATTTTAAAATCAATTGTTTGAGATTTTAAATGATCGTCACTATCTCAAACACTTGGGCATTCCATGTGGAATTAGAATTGGCTGTGAATACACTTCTGTCTAGATTTTGTCCCGACCAATGGTGATTCTATACTTAGAACGGCTTAATGTCGGCACTAGAAAAGGATTGTAAAAAATACCGGAAGGAGATAGATAGGAAATAGATGTGGAAAAGGGCAGTTTTTTTTTTCCGGAATTACGTCACGATTGGATGACCTTCATGGGAAGTAAAAATATCTACGGTTGTCTAAAGTTTTTAGACATGACTATCGAATTTTGTCATTGATTATAAATCTCTGATTACGGTTTAGTTAAATTTTTATTTCAATGCGAGTCGAATATTCTGAATCGATAAAACAATCGGAACGCCAATCAAAGGTCAGGGCATTCCTGATCGGTCAGGATTATTTTGGATGTGAGGCCTCCGAGTCATTCGATCACATCTGAGAGTTAAACTGTGACATCTCCGTTGAATCAAACATTCTCATAAACATTTTGAGAGTCGTACTGGAGTATTGAATGAAAATGCCTACGTTTATGTGAACGTGAAAGTCTAGTCGGACATCGTAAAACGATTTGATATTCAGGGAATCGTGTGACAAATGACGGCTGTGGAAGTGTCAGATGAATGGATAAAATGTTATCCTCGTGTCTCTCCGGCTGTCAGCAGTTCAACTCGTTGAATTTTCCATTAAATCCATTCACAATTGTTCATTCATCCCTGACAATAACAACTTGTTTTAATAATATTGAATAATTCAAAACTAATTCTACTGACAATAATCCAAGAAGAGGTGAAATACGACGATTCAGGAAATGGGTCAATTGTCGGAGAATATCTCCGAATCTGAGGGAGATGCCAAAATTTTTATTAATACCTTTTTTGTAGCTCTCGTTCCACTCCATAAAAATGGTATTAACAATAATTTTGTTATCTCTCGTAGGTTCGGAGATATTGGCGTTTTATTTAAGTCTGGAACCAGTCACCTTGTTACTGTATTTCTTTGTTATTAAATTTAATAATAATTCTATAAAAATTGTAGAATAAGAGGTAAAAAAAATTAGAACATATTGTTGATATGTAAGACATAAGAAATTGGATAATAATATTCGATAAGACTGATACCATAATTTTTTATAGCTGTTTGCAGAGGAAAATGGAAAAATAAAAATAATTATGATTTTACTCACCGATTTCGGAATTCATTTCATCTTCACAATTTTCTCTCTCCATCTCCAAATTCTATTCTTCTCTTTTACAACTTCTATTCTTCTAATCACCAACTAATTAGTAATATTAATTAATGGAAAGTGATGACTGACGACTGTGTGTATTATTGTGAGTGCAAATCTTTTTTGTTGATTGAAATTATTCAGAGGTTTTCTTTTTTTTCACCAATATCGAAAAACAATGACTTGTGACAAACGCCAGATTGAAATAACCGGATGTCGAGGGAGAAATGACAGACAATCAGTGCTGTCAAATATCCGCAGAAAAAGTGCGACCGTGTTTCTCCGGGAAAGTACAAAAACAGGAGATATTAATTGTTTATGACAGTAGAAATTACTGAATTATTATTAAAAGGCATTTCGATGATTTTATTATATTTGACAAGTTGAATATTTCGTTTATTATGGACTTATCCGGTAAAAAATTCCCTAGGCACCTCGTGATATGTCAGAGTAATATTCTTTATCGATTGAGTTGAGAAAAAATGGCGACATCTCCCGCCCGCGGGATTCACTACAGAATTTCAAATTTCAAATGTTTTTTTTTTAAAACAATTTCATTTGTTCATGTGCTTCAACCAGGGAATGAATATAAATATTTATTATATAAATAATAAAATATAAATATTATTTCAAATGTATGGATTGTTTTTTAATTAGTCAAATTACTTTGCAATTTTTTTTTTTTCATTCAAATGTTTTTTATCGTTCAGATGTTTTTCAAGATTTAATAATGGTTTTTGTAACCATGAATTTGTCAATAACATCTAGGTTAATAAATTCGTAATATCGGGACGGTTTTTAACCAAAATAATTTGATGATTAATTAATATTAATGAAATGTCATACGCGGAGTACGGATCGCGGATTTTTATGCCGATTAATTTGAAGACGGAAAAATTTCTAGTGCGTGATGAAGAAATAGCTCAAGTGAAATCCGGTCATCGGTTGAAGATGTATGATTCTTATCTAGATATCCGGACGTGGAGTCCCAAGCAGTTGGAGACGTTCCAGTATTTTCGGGATGTTACGGAAAATCAAAATGTAAGAATTCACGTACAAACTTAATTACTCGTATTACGTACGCAATAAACTAAATTAGCAGCGAACCACTCGTTTCTGTTTTCAGCTTTATTTTTTTTGTTGGAGAAAAATTTTTGTTCAAAAATAATAAATATTCATAATTATTTTGCATTATTTTTCATTGATCTTCTTCAATTTTTTGGGGAATGAATGATTTTTTTTAGGAATTTTCGATTTCCATGGTTTTTAGGTAGGAAAAATTGTGCCGATTGATCATTTATTTGAGATCATCAATGACTTGACTTCGCATTCTGAACTGCTGATGCTGCGAGAGGAGCTCCAGAGATATAAATCCCTTGAACTTACCCCTGAGCAGGAGAAACAGTTGCAGGTAAAAGTGCCTTTTTTTCTACATTTGCAATTTCTTTATTTTTCTTTAATTAAAAAACCCACCCAACGTTTTGTGTCACCAATTTATTTTGCTAATATATCATATAATGTAATAATACGTTCTTCTTGAGAGAGGAGAGCCGGGCGAAATGGGACAGTTGCTGAAAAGAGTTTGTAACTAATTCTAAGTCATTTTTTTTCGCGAAAAAATATCGGAGACCGTCTAAAAGTCTCCCGATTTTTTTTCCTAATTCAATTTGAATAAAAAATGTATTTTATATATATTTAATATATATTTAATATTGCAGTCCTTTTTTGAATGGGTAATTCCATTTTTTTTTTTTCATTTATTCGTCTATAAATAATTCAAAACAATTTATTTCACCGTATACCATAAAATAGGATAAAATTCGATTGAGAAATGGCGGGAATATTTCAGATGAGTGGCCTCAACATCCCTGAGGACAAATTTGAAGTTGAAGAACTTGAGAATGAAAATGATGAGACTACAGTTTCTGAACTGTCAGAAGTGACTGTTGCGCAAAAATCTAATTTGAACAGTTATTCGCACTTCACATCTACCGAGAGTCTGGTCAGAACAATTTTCATTAAAAGATTTTTTCTCATAAAATAGAAAAAAGTGCGGGGTCACATGAACATGTATTTTAATTTAAATTGATCTAGTAGCAATTAAAATAATTGCTCTTCATCTCAACCTTAATTGCATAACGACGTAATTAATTTTAGTATAAAAAACAGAAAAAATTTAATTACAATTCCGATTTTACGTTAAAATTATGAAGACAATTATTTTCCCTCACGATTCCCTGATTTCAATTTTTTGCAATAATTTTAATAATTTTTTGGCGATTGATCAGACAATAAATTGATTTTATCTCTCATCGAAGACTTTGGAGACGAAAACCTATGACAGCGATGGAACTAGTCAAGTTTCCTCCAACTCCTCCACAATAGACGAACAAGTTACATTATCCAACCGAAGTTACGATAGTCGAGAACGAGAATCGACAACTGCTTCCATCGACTCCGAACGTACTAGAATAATTAAGAACGAGTCGATGATAATATCACTGGAAAATGCCCTAGGGGTGAATAATCAATTACCCGCACTAGTCTAATCATTAAACCATTTTTCATCAATTGAAAAAAAAAAAAAATACTTCCGCCAAAAAGTCATTTACTCAACCGAACTATTTACTATATACCATTTATTCATTCCATCTCCTTTTATTTATTCATTTAGTCTTTAAATATTGTGTTTCTTCATTGTATTTAAATTATCAGGATTTATTAAATAATAAATATATTGTCAGGTGAAGAAAGCAGAAATAGAAGAGATGAAAGAGAAAATGAGAAATCTTGTCGGGGAATTACGAGAGCGCGATGTTAAAAACAAGAATTTACAGGATCACGTTCTGGTAAACAATTTGTTTATTTAATCTCAGACCTCTGATTTGTTGCAACAATAATTCCTTGCATTTGCATTGCCGTGAAAGAATATGCAGCGGCAGCTGGAACTGATGAAAGAGCGCAATTCAGCAGTGGAAGAGTACAAAAAAGTAATTTACATTTGAGAGAAATTTGTTTAAAAAATGTGACATCGCGTGTGATTTTTTTTTTATTCCATAGATATCGAGTGGGAAAAACTTGATCGATCAATTGAAAACCAAGTTGGATGAAAAAAGGAATCAGTGCATTGAACTTACGAAAGAAATAAATAAATTGCGACAAAATTATAATGATGATCAGGTGCGAGCTGAGAGAGACGATTTAAATGTACGTAAAGTGATTTTAAATTTATTTTCGTCAAAAAGTTATTAGAAAAAATTTGGATTTTTTCTTCGGAGAAATGTATGAAATTGCATAATTGTTTACACAAATATTTTAATATATTGATATTTCTTCAAATATTCCTATTTTATTTTTTACTGAGATTTCCAGAAAATCTCCAAGAATTCCCGAGATTTTCTGATTTTCTTGGAAATTTCTTGGGACCGTCTAATAGATAAAAAGCAGAGATCGAAAATAAAATTAACAACAAATAGAATTGTTTTTAAAATTGGATAATTCATTGAGTAATCCCTGTTTATCAGAATAAACTTGAAGAATTCTTCCGATCATTGAAGAGTTTTGGAGTAGAACCCAGTGAGAAAGGGATGGAAAAAATACTCCGAGAGAGAAAAGAACTCATAAAATCAGAGAAACATTGGCACCTGCAGTGTTTAGACCGCGAAGAAGAGATCGCTGAATTATCGCACTTAATAGATCGAATGTGCAATAAACATCAGGAACGAGAGGTAAAAGAGTTTCCATTCCATTGATGATCTCACAACAAAATCGTTAAAACACAACGAAAAAATATTTCTCCAGAAATCGTCGACTTGTCCAATTGATTATAAATAATTCTCTCCCTTCCATTTTTTTTTATTGAATATAGAACGAGTTGAAGCAATCGATCGAACATCTGACAACCGAATCGAGAAATAAAAACACAAAATTGGACGAGTACAAAGACAAAATGTCATCGATGCTACAGAGTTTCGAAAATAAAATCCAGTACGAAAAATCGTTAGCAGATCGAAACGTCGAGGACGAGAATATCGATAAAGCATTGTCATTTTATTTGAGGAAATCGGTGGACAAATTCAATGAATTCTCTGAAGCTTTCGAGTGTAATTCTCCCTTTTCCTCATCCAAACCAATTAAAAAATAATTACTTCCCAAAACTCTGACTAACTAAAACTAAAACTGATATTTAGCACAAGTTTTCATAAATGCTAAAATCCTTGTGCTCCCTAATTTTCTGGTCCCCCATGATCGATAAATTTGTTAAGATCAAGTTTTTTATTCAGACTTTTGAAAAATCATTTTTCAATTTAATTTTTAAAGTTTAATTCTGAGATTTTGTCTGGAGAATGACAGATTTCTTTTTAGGTCTACGATCTGGTGGAGGAGACAGGGCTGGAAGCTCTGAGATGGAGCAGCTGAAGAATGAACTCATGGAGCCAATGAAGGAGCTGAAGAATCAAATCGTGAAGCGAACGAATGAAGCGAATATGTATCTCACTCGTTATGAAGAATGCCAGAGAATTCTGCAGGTTCAATCCGAGGAATTGAAAGAACTACGAGACGCAAAACACAAGTTCTACGATAATTCGTCAATGGTCGAGGAGCTGCAACAATCAGCGAGTAAAATGGAATTGAAGTAAATCAATCCTTCCTTTACATTTGCATTGTATTATTATTTAAATATATTAATAAAAGCCCCAATAACTCCTGATTGCATAATACTGGAAAATGTTCTCTAATTTTTCAGATTCATCGATCTGCACAAAGAGCACTACAATCTAACGAATACAATTCAAAATTTGACGAGCGAATTGGCCCAGAAGAACGAGCAAATAATAGACCTGGAAACCGAGAGGGACTCGCTCACCTGTAAAGTCACGAGTTCCGCAATCGAATTGCAATCGAAGGACGAAAAAATTGCATGCTTAAAGCTCGAGAACCAAAAAATCGAGGAAAAACTTAAAGGAGCTGAAGAAAATGCTGCGAGAGTCCAATCAGAGATGAAAGATCTCAAACACGAGAGTGACATAATTAATCAGTTGTCCTTCCTGCAGAAGGAAATAGCAAAATATGGAAAAGAAAAGAAAAAACTGGAGGAGAGTATCTCTCATCTCCAGGAAGAGTTCCGGACCTGTCGCAGCTCCAATCAGACTCTTGATGATAGCCTGAATGACAGATTGAAAGAGAGGGAGTCTCTTCAGGATAAAATAACCACGATGAAGCAAAATATCAGTCATTTGTCCAACGAATTGACTTTCAATAATTTCGATGGGAGGAATATCATGGGCTTACCAGTAAAATTGTGCGAGAGCATTCGAACCCTGAAGAAGCGCCTCCAGGGTTTCTCCTCAGGGCCGGAGGACATCAGGCAGAGTAATAATGATCGCTTGGAGAACGATGTGGAAGATTATCAGAGCCAGTTGTTTGGCAGTTGTCACAATGACGAGAAGACACTGAGGAAAAGCGAAATTTTTTACAATCGAAATTTGCAGTTCGTGGAGGGCAGCGAGGATGGACTACACAAGGTTGATTTTAAAGGATGTCCTGACGGGGTTAAAGGCACTCGCAGAGAGGGTGAACTGTCTTCTGGGGAAAAGGTAAAATATTTATTTCGATTTGTTTGATATTGGATCTCCGACATTTTGGTTTTGCTCGAAGGTCATCGTAATTTAGTCATGATCAACTTGACAAAATTTCTTGGCTTATAGTTTACGACCTAGGTTTAAACTGTGAATTTATTATCCTCAATTTATATTAGTTGATGAATTAATTAATTGTCGGGCAAAAATTCATTGGATTCATTTCAATATACACCGATTGCCACTGGCTTATTGTTAATTAGATTTTGTTAATCGTTCTCATAATAATTGATTATTCAGGATGACAGAAGCCTGAGAGGTGATACGCCAGAAAATGTGCAGAAGGAAAAGAATTTGGCAGGTGATTACGAGAGAAAGGGATTTCCAGGTGAAGGTCAATACTACAATAATCCTGTCGGCACTAAAATCTGGACTTCGGTAATTTGAATTTCATTTTTCAAAACCCAATGTCCATTGACTGAATCAATTTTAGAATTTCGGGGAGAAAAGTCCACAGAAGACGGCCTTATTCATAAAACCAGAGACAATCGGCAATGAGACTCCGAAAGTATCTGTCTTCAGAAATCCCCAGAGTCTATTCTCAGATGCTAAAAACACGATTAATGTGCATTCCATCGGACAAACTAATATGAGAGCTCCTTTTTACGACAGGAGTCCTTTGAATGAAAGGTATTCACAACATTCATATTTGATCGAGACTTTCAATAATTATTTCACACGGACGATCCTCTGAACTCCCAAATCATCCGAAACCTAGTTCCTCACCAAAAATACCTTTTTTGTAGCTCTCATCCTTTTTTAAAATAATATCTAACATAATGCCCAAAAAATGGTCTCGAAAAAAAATGGATTCATCCCAGTTTACAATTTCTCTACTGAATTTGTCAATTGCAGTTTTTAATTATGACTTTTAGATACGGAAAAGAGTTGCCCACAGCTAGATATGAGTACCAGATCAGATCAGACAATACATCAATGCCCAACAAGATCGTAAGCCTTTCTAATAATTAATAAAATTAAATTAATAAATTAAATACATATTTCCAACTACATGCGATTATTAAATTAGTTCCAGATGGATGCGTCAAATCGAAATTTCATCACGGCCTGTAGTGTGCGCAGGAAAAATGAAAATTAATTCTATTCACTTGCACCTCAAGATCTTGAAGAAATACAATCAGCACGACTGAATAATTTTCAACTATTTTTTTGAATATCAATTTATTTCATCGAAATGGTAACCAACATGACCAAATCATTATCATGACTTAATTCTTATTTTTCTATCAATTTATTATCTATTGATGTATTTACAATATTTACATAGTTATGGATTAAAGTACATCGAACTTGCAACGTAATCTTTCCTCTCGAAAGATCGATCGATCACCTAGGATGTAATCAAATAATACTGACTCATAATCATCATTATATAAAAAATAGATTTTCACCCTTTCTTGAATTCCCCTTGGAAACTCAAAAATATCAATTTCGTATTCGTTTTCATTTTTTGGAAAAATGTTTAATGTGAAATTCTTAATCTCAGCTGAAAAAAAAATCCATTCGCTCTTCATTTCCCATTCTTTTTCGCTCTCAACGAGAAGAGAGGGAATGCCTGAGGCTAGTGTTCTCATTAAGGTATTGCACAACGTCTGAGAAGAGTAATTCGAATTGTCCCTGAGGCCGCGTCTGCATCATCCAAAATAAGACCGAGGGTGAGACACGACCCAATTGATGGCGAATCAAAAGGAATTTTTCATCAGCACTGAATATTCAAGTCAACTTGACTCTTCACTCGGGATTTCGGAAATCTGAACATTCTCGGTGGAAAAAAAAATGGATTCCATGATCATCGCCTTCATTGGATTAAAAAAAACGTGACACTCACTCCTGAAAAATTAAAATTTCGGGGACTTCGATAAACGTTCCACTTCACTCCGAAATCGTGATTTGTCTACTAGAAATCACGTAAATCACGAAAAATAAGAAGAACCCATGATTTCGTATTATTAATGAGAAATCACAGAAATCAATCAAGAATATTCCGGAGATAATCTCACTTTGTAAATAACTCCTTAATTCCAACAGTCCCTGTACCTGAACGTACCTGAAATAAAAACGAGATAAAACTACGTCTCGGTTTCTTCACTGACCGCGCGTTTCTGCACAAAAACGTCCCTATGATCACAAACAGTGAAGCTCTTGAGATCAGGTGTACTGCTAGTCTGGGATATGATCTTCTTGGCCGAAGGAATGCAGTCAACAGTTCTTCTTCTACTGACATGTGTATCCAAGGGTCGTTTCCACCTGATTCCCTTCCTCTTCCTGCCACTTCCAACGGAGCCCTGTCTTCTCACCAGGAATTTCGGTGCACTCCTCGTCTTCGGTGATTCGTTGGCATTTTTAATGCTGACATCATTGAGCTCTGAGAGATCCTCTGAGAGCTCCTGAGAGAAGGCAGAGTTGAAGAAACCCTGTGGCTCTTCACTGGGATCATCTTGGGATCCACTGCGAACGGTGATGTAAGGCGGTGGACTCTGGATGGACAACGAATGGTCAGTCGTTGATTCTCCATTGTCCTTTGTACTGGGATATGTCAGAGTACTTTCTTCCAGATTTGTGGCACTGGGCCAAGGCCGAATACTTGGCTGCGGCTTCTGGCTGAATGGGAAGAAACGTCTTCTCTCCGATTTTGGCGTTAGTTTTGACGATTTCTTCTGGGCAGACGACACAGGCTGTCCTTCAATCTCGTTAAACTCGTGGATATCCAGTGGTATAACTGTCTCTGAGTAATTCCGGGAGACTTTTGAGGCTGAGGGATTACCGATGATCTGCCTGGAGCAAAGGAGTTCACGTGATGATTTGTGGCAAGAAGATTATTTGTTTTGGATTATTTAAAAAATTGTCTCTTCATCTACATGACATTAATATACATTTCTACATAGATTAATATTATATTCATGAAAGGGAAAGAACTCACCGCTTGCCGTTCAGGGGACTGTCATTTGGATGTGTCGCAAGACTTGCAGTTGATGTTCTTGGTGTTGGGGTTTGTTGTTCTGACTCTTCCTCTTCTGTTATTTCTGGCAGGAACATTGTTTGTTTTTCCTCCGGAACCCTGACAAAAGGAATTCGAGAAATATTGGAGTTTTTTTTTTTTAATAAAATTGGGATTGAGGGAATGCACTGAATCAGGCAACACGTCGATTTAGTTAGTCGATCAATTGTGAAGGAATATCTCTCAATCTAATAGAGATAAAGAAATTCCTGTCAATACCTTTTTTTTAGCTCTCATTCACCTCTACGAAAAAGCTTTGAGTACAATTTTCGTTATTTCCCGCGGATTCCGAGATATTCCTAAAAAACTCACGGGAGGAACAAATCGGTTTGTTACCCTTTACCGATCGGTACCCAAATGCCTCATTGGATTGGAAATTAATGATGAATTGAAGTGTTTATTCAGGATGATACCTCTCAAGAAGTATTTTTAGTACTAACATCATATTGGCGACACTTCCACGATACGTTTTACGCTTGTACGCAGCAGCGGCTTCAGTATAAGGCAGTGTGAGATCTTCAGAGTCCCAGTAGATGTCTTTGACGAGAGGTGGACACCGATTCATCAGCGTATCAACACCTAAATACGAGACCTTGGTGTGTCTGTCAATGAGCCAATTCAACTCGAAGTCCTCGTCGTCGTCGCCGAAGGGGTTTATCAATTGCTCTGCAACCTGACGTAATGACAGAGGGAAATAATTATTATGGAATGATTGGACGGTGAAGATGTACCTTGAGTAATCCCATGTAGAAGAAAAATTGAAGGATCGTGAAGATTGGTAAGTACTGGTCCAGTTCCATTTGAAAGGGCTTCTTGTCCCCTTTTATGTATTGTCTACCTATCAAAGCAACTACGAAGAAACTGTACGTCGCCAGAGTGACTACTTGGGTGTAAACTAGAGGAATTGATACCCAATCGTAACTCCAGAGAAGTCCACATTTTGAACGGAAATCGTTGAACTCCTAGACAAGAAATTATCCATTTTTATCTATGATCATTTCTTTTTAGAAATGGCAAACTGGGATGAGTGGATTTTTTTCGACTCCAGTTTTTACTCTATTTCTCGAGATTGAAGGAAGATAATGATATTTTGATGAGAATCTTTTTTGTAGCTCTAATCTTTTTCTATGAAAAATGTTTATGCGAAAAATTCACTATGTTCATTCAATTCCGAGATATTGGCGGAAAACTTGACTCTGAAATTCGAAAATTCTCATTAGCAGTAAAAATTTATCTGTATGCCCCATTATTCTCACCTCCATAACTATTTTGAGTCCTTGAGCATCGGGAAGTCTGTGGGTTCGTCGTGCTTCTTTCAATAAATTGATAAACCAAGTGCACGGTATCCAATAGGTATTGAACTCAACACTGGGTACTGATAGAAATAGTTCGAGCTCCAACGAAGTCATAAATCCTGAATCGACGACGTGATCTAGCGTTGGGAATCGCCGTTTAACAGCTGAACTTATGGATCGCAGCACCAGGATCAGAGATAGATTGAGGTATCGCATTAATGATCTACGGAGCATGCGTCCGTAATCATCGTTACCCGTCACGTACAGAGCAACACTGTGCATCACTCTTGAACAATGAACTTTATCATTAAAAGGGATGATGGTATTTATTCGTTAGCATTTGCAAGGATTCGGGTCTGCAATTAAGGAATTTATTTTTGCGGAAATCATAAACTTATAGATGTAATCTGAGAGAAGATAAATAAAAAATCCATGAAAATCCATGATTTTTATTGTATTAATTTCGTCAATTACGATTTGTTTACGAAATGTTTTTTTACATACGAATTTTTCCATGTGAATCAAGAATTTTCGGTGTAATTCTCGAGTTCTAAGGGAGATAATGGAATTTTCATCATATCCTTTTTTGTAAAGTTAATTGAGATCTATAAAAAAGGATATGATAAAAATTTTGCTATCTCCCTGCGTTGTGGAGATATTTCTGAAAAACTCACCGACGAAAAATTGCGCTCTAGTGTAATTACTCCATAAAAATAAAAATCACTCAGTTAATTAATTATTTATAAATTCCGCCTAATTCGGTAATGAATATTTATATTTTCATGCTATCATCTTTTTTTTATGAAGAATTCTGCACTTCAAATTAAAAGTTCAATCGCTCATTTTACCGCCAAAAAAAATATTCCAATTCTTTTGTTGCAAAAAACTTATTGAACTTTCAAATTTCAATAAGACTCCCTCCAAGACGCATTTTCAATTGAAATCCAGTAATTCCGGTATTTGCAAAAACCTATCAGCGAAGCCGAGGTCATTTTCTGTCTGAAGTGAAAGGTAATTGAAAATAAATTGAGTTTATGGCTAAAATATTTCTTCACTGCTGTTGTCTTCGGCTGATGTTGCAACTCAACATGTTGACATCTTCAGGATTCATTCATTTTTCGATTGAATAGATGTACCACTTGGTATTTATCGTGAAAGACTAAGGAGATTGTTTTCTCCCAGGACTATTATGCCATTCGATTGCATATCGTTAATTAGCATTCGTAAGACAATATTAACTTCTTCATCATAAAATATTGATGCCTGAATGGAAAATGTAATCGTCAAGGGGTGACTGATTTATCACTCTGTTCCATTCATAATTACGTTGACTTCATAATTAAAAAGGTGAATAATAAAAATTTTACGATCGATTGAAATTGTTGACCGACTTGCAAGTTGCAAAATCCAAATTAAATATTATTAAATGTTGCCAGTCATTCTTTATTTAATCGAACAACATTTCATGGTTCCATGGTTAGTTTATAATCTTAGTAGTAAATTATTTTTGAAATTTAATAATAAAAGAAAAATTTTCTAGCGCCAAAACCGAATTGTTTGATCTGAATCAAAATCAGGGGAGATGAAATTTATTCGGTTGTGGATATTTAATTAATATCGATTAGAATGTTTTTATTTTTCAGTGTAAGCTTACTTGTCTGGCCAGGGAATTGCCATGTATTGTTGCCACCATCTTTGGGCAACGTATGCAACGTAAAATCCCAGGACGAAGCTCAAGGGGATGAGACTGATGAAGGTGTCACAGTAAATAACAAGCGCCTCAAATTTTCTGCAACAATTCAGATTAATCCAGGTATCACACTGAGATAAATAAATAAGAAATGTCTAAAAAAGAATGCAAATCACAGCCGAAGGGTGAGACTTCGATTTTAAAAATTTTGGTGAATATCAATTCATGAAATGGTACACCAGGACAAGTGATTTTTTTTTCAAACCAGTTTTCAATCGATATCTCAAAATTGAAGAGAGATGACGATTTTTTCATGAATACCTTTGTTGTAGCTCTCATTCTTTTCTATAAAAAATGTTTCTATAAAAAAATCGGTATGTTCTCTCAATGACGAGATATCGCGTAAAAACTGATGTCGAAAAAAGGCAATTATTGATTTGAGGAGAAAATCCCAGTAGTTCTTTTTTATTTAAAAAAAAATTAATCAAAAGATTATCAATATTTTTATCCTAAATCACTTGTTTTTTAAACAAATGGATACTTAAAGAACATTCTCAAACCAATTCGTCTCTTGGTTGCTAAATTAGTTCTGCTGTTTTCTGAAATAATTCTTAAACGCAAAATCATTCGCATAAATGAACTCATAGATGTTTCGAAGGACAGAAGCAGAAAACGAGGAGAAATATTCGTAACAAGGTTTTAAGAAATAACAATTTAAACGTTGTCTCATTAATAATGAAAAATAAATGAAACAATCCAATCACTGGACGTTGCAAATGAATTTCCATGACGTTTAAAGTACGTGGGTAAGTTGAAAAACTAATTTCTGTCGGTTTATGACGACATTATCGGTATAATTTCTTACTCCTTGTAGGTGTCATCAAAAAGGTGGCGATAGATAGCTGAAATAGCAACGAAGAGAACGCAGAACAACAATAATTCCCTGTAGATGAGTTTGTAGAGGGATCCTCTCCACATAAACAGGAGTCGTGTGAATCCACCGCTGGTCGAGCTGGCGACCTCGTACTGATACGATACGGTCATATTTATTAATTAATAAATTACAACTTTCCATTGAGTCCCGATACAATGCCTCGTATCGTTGTTTCATCGTCAAACAATCCCACCGCAATTTCCATCTCATCCTGATAGCGGCATTATCTCCAGTTGTCTATTAGGTAATTGTTTAATTGTCGAGGAATATTTTTATGTCGGGGCTCCTGCTCTCACCTGCAAACACCCAAAATTCATCATTTCTTTCGCCATTTTCGTACGCATACATTTCCTCAAAATTATTTTCTTTCCAAATTTTTATGTTCCAAATTTATTTAATATAAATCCGGGATGAATAATTGTTTTTATCATTTTTTTATCAGTCGTTTTTTGTTTATTGATAAAATTTGTTGAATTTGAAATAATAATTGAATAATTATATTATGAGAAAAATTTATTAAATTAATAATAATAATAAAACAGCAAAAAATACATCAAAATAAAATCGATATCGATAAATAATTTTTCATTTTACTCTGGCATCTACAATTACTAAATTAAATAATCTAGATAATTAATAAATAACACGAATAAATGATAATAAATAATGAATAATTTATGTTGCAGTTGATTTTCACGCACTTATTTTTTCAATTAAAATATAAATTAATGCATTCAAGTCTTTTGCAGTCCGGAAAAAAAACCGCGGCGCGATTTTTTCCCGCGGTTTCCTCATTCTAGAAAAAAATATTCGCAAAAAAAGTGCATTAGTCTCGGAGTGGATTTCTGCTGTTATTTTATCCCACTATTATGTGGATTCGTTATTCGTTTCTGTTCTCCACTTCGAGTCTTATCGCTTGAAAAAAAAAAGAGCACGAGAGTTTTCATACTCGACTATTGTCGAGTTTACGAGTTTATGCCGATTGTTTTAATCCAATACACAGCCATATTGTTCCCGTCATGGATTTTCGATTCACTGGATATATTTATCACCACGACGGATGGATGTAACAATGTAACTTTATCGGAGCTCGTACAATGCTCCTTAAATATTTTGTGTAAATCCCGGAAGAAGAAGAGGATCATTTTGAAAATATAATCCAACTTCTGTAATTACCAGGGATTATCCCTAGTATGAGAATTTCACAATTGAATTTGGTAATTAGTATATTAATTACATCGTCAATCGAATCGAGGCTGTGAATTAATCGATTAATTTAGTAATGAAGAATATTTAAAAAAGGAATCGTCGATTATTCAACCAGTAACTCAGTATTGATGTCTCAGAGAATTTTCAATTATTCAATTACTCATCAATTAAGAAAGTGAAATGACTAATTACTTCGTTTATCGTCAATTAGCAAGAAGTACAATATTCGTTACGAATTAATCATTTTTAGTAAATTGAAAAGGTGAAATTTCTTTTTTACAACTTCATAGATTTTCTTCTAGAATTTATTTGATATTTTTCATTATGCAATTAAATATTCAACCATTTTCCAATTTTGATAATTCTCTACAAAAAATCGTTTTCAGATAAATATCAAGGCGCTCAGTAATCCCAGAAGTATTTATTAAGAACAAATAATTCTTTGAAATTTCCCATTTCCCATTTTATGGTTTTGAAAAATTTTTATTTGTTGGTAAAAGACATGCGCAATAAAAACAATTTCCTAATTTTTTTTCTAGCCACTACTTCCTGCATCGCAGAAGTCAATCATCGACGGAGGAAAAACCATATAGCAATAAATAATATCGCTGTCAAATTTTTTCCTCGTGGATGACTAATTTTTCGTGGAGCAGAATAATTATTTCTCCATTGCCGATCAATTTTCAACAATGAAGTAAAAATTCAGCGGGTAAGATAAATAAATCCATAAATTCATCAATCGGTAATTACCACCTAGAGTAAAAATGTCCGTTTTTAATTTCAGATTGAAGACAAGAATTCGAGTTGAGATTCAGATTTTCAATCCCCGAACAGAATTTTTCCGGAAATAACTGAAGGCCTGAAATGGTAATTTGGCGTCAGCATCGAAATCCAAATTTCCGTCATTCGGATCCAAATTCGCCGATTTCGCATGCCTAATCTCAGATCCCCTTCCACCGGTACCTGGTAAATCACAATAAAATTGACGAATATTTAAAATAGACGGGAGAGAACCGATGGTGCATGAAAAATCGGTAAAGGTGACAATTGTGCCGTCACTCGTGCACTTATATATCCCTTTGGCGAATAATGCGTTTGGCAGTTGCGCCAGTTGCAACGTCGTTGATAAATATAACCGGGGACCCCGAACTGACACTGTCTGCTCAGTTTATATTTTGTCCCATGATCTTTTCCGTAATCCTTCGGATTTCGTCATTACCGAGAAATTTTTACACGCGTCATACTGGGAGGAATTACGCCACCGATTGAAGACGACTTGAAATTTCAAGCGAATGATCTTCATCATTTTTTCATTCGCGGTAAAAAGGATTATTGAACTAAATTTTGAAGACTTTTTTTATTCTGTTAGTAACAATTTTAAATTTACCATTGAATATTGTTTATGGAGGAATTGTGAGGGCGGAAAATGTGGACGCAGATTGAAGCTATCAAGCCATCGGTTGGACCAATAATCATTTGGCGATTCTTGGAGAGTCGGATAAATAAACAGATATTATTTAACCTGAGTACATGTGCACTTTGAATTCGCTATTGTTTATATTTCCGGTAGATCTATTTATTCCCCCCTTCGCGCGTAAGATCAATTTTTCTAATTGATTTTTTCAAAGAAAAATATTTAAAAAGCTTTCTAAATGAATTTTAAGTTGTGGAATTTTTATTTATCAGAACTGTCACGAGTTTCAATTTTTTTTTCTCCTTCCGAAAATGCACGTAAAAAGTAAACAAAATAATTCATGAGTCCTAATGAAATTTCCATTTTATTCCGGTTAACAAATAGATTAATAACAAGACTCCATCAATTTATTATGGATTAAATAAAAAATTGAATTCATTAAAAAGAAAAATCGCAGACAATTCCAAAAAAAAAGGCAATGAGCCTTAAAAATTTTGATTAATTTTCTAAATAAACAAATTAAAGTATGAGTATTATTTTAGAATACTTTTGACAACTTTTCCAAATAATCACCATTTTACATTTTTTTTCGTTGTTGAGAATATTTCCATTGAGTTACCATTCTCACCGATGAAAATAGCTGATGCCCAAGAAATTAAAGAAAGATGCACTATTTAATTCGTCGCACTAATTGCACTGTACACGTATGAGGGGTAGTAATTGATGACAAGTGTTCAACTCGAGTGCTCAAGGCAGACTGTTCTTGTTGGACAACCGGTGTTGGTTACCGGCGCTGAGTTATTCCTTTCAGTTTGTTTCTCACCCTCTCCACAACCAAATCTGCATGTCCAAACTTCCCTGTTACTTCAGACTGCACATTATCTTGCGTCGAATATGCATCCAATGGCAGAGACCCAAATTCACCAATGTCAAGCGCAGATTTCAATTTCATCAAAGATACACAGCCACAGAAAAAAAAAAAAAATCCTTAAAAAAAATTACCGTAAGCTTGGATAATTATCCCCATAAAATTCCAATTGAATTAAACAAAATTAAAAAAAACGCAAAAAGTTTAAAAAAAAAATTAACACAGTTATGTATGAATATTAATTAATTATTAATTAAAAATATAAAATATTAAAACATATAATAATGATTATTATTATTGAGAAATGTATGAAATTATCATTTATGGTTAATAATAATAATAAATAATGTGGGTGGAATGAAAAATATTAAATTATGTTTCGACAATTTCAAAAATTCGCATTATTATTATTATTATATATTATATAGTAATTTGTTTATCCATTTGTCAATATCGTAATTATGCGTGAGGAATTACTGAATTCTTTTGATTGATTAAAGGATGATTCATCGGGAGAAAATAATACAAGTCACATCGTAAGAGTAATTTGCACTGTGAATAAATTAATAATATAACAAAATCAATGAAAAATGGAAATTTCAGTGTAATTATTGAAGACTAATGGGAACAGGGAAAATACGAACACTCGGGTAAATATATTCTTGCATTGCGAATTCATTATTGGAAATAGTAATTGATCGTGAGGTTTTACGATTTTCCGGTGATTCATCGAAGGGCGATTCATTAAACGGAAAATAATTCATCAGATCATACCGTCGTAATTAATTGAGTGTACGTCAGGCCTGTTGTTTACGAAGAAATATTTTTAATATTATTAATTGCAAATTGGGGAATTTTCGGAATATTTCGCGACCTTTCTTTATCAAAAATTGAAAAAATACAAAGTTAATTGAAAAAAAGATAATTGGAGATGCAGTTGCCAGATGCATTACCAGAACGAGATGGAAATTACGGGTCTATTGTTTTCCGGAGAAACAGTGATACCTCCATTGTTTATGAAATTTAATTTTTTTTTTCTGGTATTATGAAGCTAATGTTATGAAGGAATACTCGATGTTTCAGGAAAGTTTTTGGGTATTGGATTCTGGTTGATCATCAATTCATCAGACGTTATCTTCTATTTTTACACGAGAAAACTCAATTCCATCGAATGGACAAATAAACAATTTCTGATTTACGTGTCAGCAGCACGTGATGCATTCAATCTAGTTCACGAGGTCTTGGGCAATTACTGAACGTCAATGAAAGGTAAGGAAAAGGTGCGGTTATTTTGCTCCACGAGAAAAGTTTTGATAAAAAATCTCGAATGTCTCCTAGATCGATTTTAGATGAAATTTAGCCGACTGTAGAACGAGTGGAAGGGGGAAGCCACATCTTGGGGAATTTCAAATGAAAAAAATTATTCAATCTATTGAATATCGTTCGATCCCGCCGCCATTTTTTTTTTAAATAATTCCAATTTTTTCTTTTGTAAATAGCTAATCAATAGAAATATTGGTTAAAAACTGAATAGCTCTTCGATTTTCATATTCCCCTGATACTTTTTCGAAAATTTCGAATTTTCAAATTTCAGTGAATAACTCCTCGATTGTCATGTTCCCCTGATACTTTTTCAAAAATTTCGAATTTTTCACTTTCAGTGAAAATTTCAATGAATAGCTCCTCGATGTTCATGCTACCCTGATACTTTTTCAAAAATTTCGAATTTTTTAATTTCACTGGATATCTTTTCGATTGTACAGTATTCAGTTTTTAATCAATATTTCATAATATTTGATTGATTAACCATTTACAAAAGAAAAAATTGGAATTATTTAAATAAAAAAAAAATGAATGATGGCGGGATCGAACCCCGGCCGTCGGCGTGCCAGCCGAGCACGCTGCCAATTAGGCAACGCGCTCATTATGAAATTACAATATCTTCAATACATTAAATAATTTTTTTCATTTGAAATTCCACAAGATGTGGCTCCCCCCTTCCGTACGTTCTACAACCGACTAAATTTCAGTTAAACAAATAAAAAACAAAAACCATTGACACCGCAGAAAATAAAATTCACCCCGTCGACATGATGGACACCCCAGCATTGCATGTGGTGTCCTCCCTCCCTTGGGGTGCAGTACTACGATGTAATCCTCTTTCCGAATGTTTTTTAGTACCTACCCCACCTAAAAGAGGGCAGGATGACCTACTCTCTGGGCCCTCTGGGTAAATATTCATAATTAATTACTTTTGCCACAATTAAAAAATCATTACCTGTGAAATATCAACCCATGACGAAAAAGCCAGTCCAGCTGATTTTCAGTCATTCATGATTTCATTCGAATGAATGACAACTGAACTTTCTTTTTCTACCGTAAAATCGCCACTCGAAAAAAAATTCCTCCTACCGGGTTTTAGTCGTCTTAGTCTTAAAGTGTCCAGTGTGGGAGTATGTGGTATATACTCGTATATAGGAGCATATATTGGTATATATACTGTCTGATAGTGGCGTCGTGAGGTGCGTTCAGTGATAAATGATAACTCATTGTCCTCGTATGTAAAATAATTCGGTACCTGAATCACAATTGTTAGTCAAGTCGTTTGAGCGTTGAAAGTATTCATTCAATTGCGAAATATAATCTTTCACAAGGTGAATTACAATTTGACTTAGTGTGTGTTATCGTGTGCTTCTTGGAGTGCCCCAGCCATTATATGAAAGTGGATTCATTGAGATTACGTCGGTGCAAAAATCATGCGTCTCTGATCTTCTGATTTTATTGTCAAAAAGACAACAAAAGACGTGAAAATGGCGACAGCAGAGATCGATGATTTTTTGGGAGGACCCCTCGTCACTTGGGTGAGCCATTAAAAAATATATTCACCTCCATAATAATTTTTGTACTGATAAAAATAATTAATCATCATAATCTCTATTTTTTATATCATTAACCATGATTTTTGTTTCAACAGTTCGTCAGCTGTTTGGAGGATGCCGACGCTTTATCGAATTACAATGATTTGGCGGATGGAATTCTCCTCCACAATGTCTTCCTTCAGATTGACCCGGAGCCTCTCCACGACGGAGTGATCCCCAGCTGTGGCAACAGCTCAACTCGAATGAAAAATCTCGAAATTATAGTGGGCAATATTAAGCAATTTTATGAGGAAGAACTGGGCCATCTTCTAATAAAACTCCCAGACACAGTGAATCTGGGAAAAGAGCCAGAGGTTCATGTGCAGGATATGCAGCTACTCCTGCTGCTTCTCCTAGGTTGTGCAGTACAATGTCCGAACAAAAAGAATTTCATAACAAGAATAAAAACACTTCCTCTAGACACACAACTAGCGATAGTCGACTGCATAAAACAAGTGACAGATTATCATGATATTGTTATCACCCAGGATTCAATGGAGAATGTCAACATGTCAGGTGTCTTCAAGGAGATTAAAAAAATAATAAATGAGAGGGATTTGTATCGTGATAAATGGCGTGGTGCTGCTATAAATGATTTGTCGGGTCCAAATGACTCTGCACCTGATGATAATGAGGGAATGACAAAATCACAGCAGCTCAATCCAATATCGAAGAAGTCAGGGCGTGAAGAGCATCATCATTATGCTGTTGAACTTGCTGATTGGAAATCAAAAGTTAGAAAACAGAGACAGGAGTTGGAGGAGAAAACTGAGGCACTCCTCGAGTGCAAAGAGGAATTGGAGCACAATAAACAGTCTCTGGTGAAGCTTAAGCAGGAGAATCAGGAATTGATGCACGAAGCTAGAACAGCTAAATCGTACAGAGACGAATTGGATGCTGTGATGGAGAGGGCAGAACGTGCTGATCGTTTGGAATCTGAAGTGGCTCGTTACAGGGAAAAATTAACGGATATTGAATTTTACAAAACGAGAATCGAGGAGCTGAGGGAGGATAACAGAGTTCTCATGGAGAATCGGGAAATGCTGGAGGAGCAGTTGAGTTTGTCACGACGAAGGGCTGACAAAGTTCTGGAATTGGAGGCTCAAATAATCGAGTACAAGCAATTATTGAATGATGTGGCACTGGAGCGAGCTGCTGACAAAGAAAAATATCGTGAATTGTTCGATGAGAATTTACAGTTGCATAAGTTGAAGAAAGCTGCTGACGATGAGGCAGCACGTGCTGGATCCATCAGTGAATCTGAGGAGCCAGTTACCTCTGATAATAGATTATCAGAGCAATTGACGAATAATGCACAGACCAGGGCATTGAAACTCGAGCTGGAAAATCGTCGATTGATGGCACTGGTGGATTCATTGAAGGAGAATTCCTTCCACGAATCGTCGGGGCGTCTTCTCGAGTTGGAAAAGGAGAAGAAGAAGATGTCATTAAAGATGGACTCACTGACTGATAATAATGATAGACTGGGCCAGCAGAATGCAGATCTCGAGCTCGTCTGCAAGCAAGCATTGGAGGAGAATAAAAAACTCCAGAATACACTGAAAAATCAGAGGACATCTTTTGAAAGGCAGCAGCATGATTATCAAGCTCAGCACTACAAAATTATTGAACTCGAGAAGAATTATGAAATAACAATTAAAGAGAAGCAGAGGGTGCAGTCATTGCTGGAGAGTGTGCAGAGGCGAGCTGATGAACTCGATCGCTCCCTGGAGAATGCTAATCAAAAATTAGAAGATTTGAGACTTCTCGAGAATAAACTCAAAGAGGTAGAGACTAAATGCACCGATCTTGAAACGAAAATAGTCATATTGGAGAAGGACAAGGAGACAGCACTGCGGGATGTTCACAAATGTCGTGAGATCATTGAGGAGAAAGACGTGGCTCTGGATAAAGCGACAAATGACATTGAAGTGATGACCAAGAAAATAGAGGGGCTTGAGAGAGAAGTTGATAAATCAGTGTGCCAAATAACGAGACTCCAGGAGATTGAGAGATCATCGAAAGAGTTAGACTCGAGAGCAGCTATTGATAAGGAGACGATGGAGACATTGCAATCGAATTTAATTGCTGAAAAATTGAATACCCAACAGCTTCAGACTGCTCTTGAGAAACTTGGATTAACTGTTGAATCATTACTGACCCTTTCAGCTGAGAATATTGTGGAACAGCTGGTTAATGTACCTGAAATGTCTCAATACATAAATAAATTGATTAGTGAAAAAATGGAGAGCGAGCAGAAAAGTCTGGAAATACCACAATCAAGGGATACTGAGTCAGAGGATAATGCACCAATGAATAAACACCTCCTGGAGACTGTGGAAACGCTGAAGAGGGAGTTGGAGTGTGCACAGGTTAAACTTAATACTAGTCAATTAGCTGGTGAAAATTTACTGGAGGAACAGGCGAAATTGCAGGTTTGCGTTACGACTCTGCAATCTAAGATAACGTCCTTGAATGCACAGCACACAGCATTGCAATTGGCTAATTCACAATTGGTAGCTGAAAAGGAAGAATTGTTGAAGGAGCGGGATGTACAGCAACGAGCTCACCAGCAATTGTTGCATGATCAGGTGACACTGCAATCACTCCATGAACAATTGAATAATGAGTACGAGAATCTTCTCCAGGAGCGGGAGACCCTCAAGGCTAATTTGAGAGATACGAAGAATCATTTCAGAACGTTGAAGGAAAATTGTGAAATACTCGAGGAGAAGAACAAGGAGTTTGTGGCTGAGCAGGAGACGTCGGTCTGCAATGTTAAGAGTTTGAATAATCTCAGGGGAGAGCATTCGAAGTTGAAGGATGACTTCAGGAATTTATATACTGCCACGGAAAAACTTAAAGCCGAGTACAGAAATCTTCAGGAGGATTATAAGAAGAATAAACTCGAGACGAATCGATTGAGCCTGAAATTAACTGAATTGCAGGGAGAAATGAGTATCAAAGAGGAGAGATGCTCGAATTTGGAGCTACAGATCAGCAAACTCAATCAACGATGTGAGATGCTTCTGCAGATGAACTCGGGATTGGATAATAATAGAAGATCTCTCATGGATCATGTCAGTGTTCTCTTGAATCAGTATCACGATCTTTTGAGTCACTCCCTGGAGGACAAGGAGCACTACCACATGGAGGAGAAATTATATCGCGATCAGGTCAACCATTTGTCGAGACAGAAGGAGAAGTTGGAGGAAAAAATAATGGAGTACTACAGGAATAAACAGAGTTGTTCAACGAAGAAGTGAGTTTAGTGAATTAATTATTTTTATTTCTCAATCATATTGAATTTCAATTTATTAATTTTTTTATTCCCAGGAAACGGTTTGGAGCGAGTCTAGTTAAACGAGTGAGAAAGGCAGGTTCTGATTTATTGAATAAGAATCGTCAGTCGTGGGCAGATGAGTCGAAGCAGTCAGATGGAAAGCTGTACGAATCAGAATCAGGTGGAAATGATTCTGATGTCAGTGGAGAGGATCGTAGAGTAGCAACTGAGACTCCAGTCCTCGATAATGATTATTCATTAGGAACACCTGGAACTCGAAGAACAGTTTACTACACAGATGATTCCCCATCACCTGCCACTTCCTTGCCAGTGAGTTCTCACTTTATCCCATGAAAGATCATTTTAAAAATTATTCATCTCTGCTTTTGATGGAAGTCTATTAGAAATAATATCAATAATTATATAATTAAGGAAGGATTATTTTTATTATTCCAGCCTGAACAGAAAACCGATACCTTGCCACAGAGTCCAGTGGACGATGCACAGTCAGGCCGACAAAATCAGGATCAGGCAGCACGTTCTGTTCTCATTTACAATAAAGTTTCTGCTGTTATAAATGAAACGCAAAATTTAACAACTCCAGTGGACGAACAACTGCCGAATGAGGAAATCGGTGAGCCTCTCACTGCTAAAGACCCGAAGGTCGGTAATTCAGTCTGGTATGAGTACGGATGCGTTTAGAATTTAGAAGACCAAGGGATTCCCTTTATTTATAATTTTATTGTAGTTAAACAGTAGATGGAGATGAAAAAGTCTCAGTTTCATAATGAGTCGGATTACTCCTATTTAAATTCCACGCTAAAATTCAATGTGGGGAATCATAAAATACGAATGCTTCCTTCGGTGTATGAATATAATATGAATGATGTGCAGAATTAATTATTTAAGAAAATCGCTTATGATGTGTGAAGGGAATTTTCCAAAATACTATTCGCTTTTAAATGATAATTCATTGCCTAGAGATAATCGAATGCCAATTGAAATCAATATCAAAATGTTTGTGTCTTCGCAATTCTAGTGCATTAACAGAAAAATCGAGATCATGTCACGTTTTTTTTTTTAATAATATTCCCACCTTTTGCCGATATGATAACGATTTTTCTATTAACGCACCGATTATAAAGATGAATTTTCCGATGAGAAAAGGATTTACAGCTACTTATATCTGATCATAGCCGTATTGTGATATAAATTGTGAGAAAAATGTGGTATCACTGTTGGCCTTTTTTTTATTTTGAGAGGAAAGCATATAATGTAGAAAATAGATTGATAATGCTTGCCGGCTGGTACCTCGGGCAATAATTCCGTTACCGGCTTAATAATTATTCTTGTACATAATCGGAGAGATTATTTATGAATTAATTTTTCATCCTAATAGACTTATTGACATGTACAAAACAATTCCGGCCCGTTTGTATTTATAAGATCCTCTTGAAAAAACATCTTGAATGACAATGAATTTTTCAAGGGATAATAGAAAGAGAAAAACGTAACAAAGTATTATTTGTACTAAAGAACCCGCATCTCATAGAGTGTAAGTCAATTTTTATATTTTTTAGTATTTTGTGCGTATTAAAGTTTTAAGAGCAAAAAATTCAATTATGTCTATTTTGTTTGTTTCTTTTATTTTGTCAGTTTTTTTTTTCGTTTCGCCTTTAATTATTTGTTCCCCTGACTGAGTCTAACTGAGTTCCCCGAGGGAATGCATGCACGGCATTCTGTTGGGGGCTAAAAGGACTCTGCTACTTTTTTATTATCCTTCTCACGAACTCAAAAGGATCTTGCCACAAAAAAATTAAAAAAAGTTATCCACCTTCTGTTTCTCTCATACCTCTCCCTCCACTAAATTCTCAGACATGCCGAAATTTGCATACCTCCCCTCCATCCTAAGTTTATTTAATTGAAATTTTCAGGACCTTTTTTGATCGATTGTCGCCGTGAGAATCTGCGCTGAATCTTCTTTTTTTTTTATTGGAGAAAAAATATCGCAGATATTGCATTTTTCCTTTCTGCAATTCTACAATTTTTTATTACTGCACATTTGGAATTGTTTCATTGTTTTTCCTTTCATTTTTTTAAATAGATTTTTTGCGAGAGCAATTCGCGTCGGTGCCCCAGCGAAATAGACGTACCCTTTCTTTCACAACCGCAGGTACAAAACTGATCTCATCAAGCTAATTGAATAAATCCTAAGAACTGGTGCATAAAAAAATCTAATAATACCCACCAACAAAACAATAATTACTCATCGCATTAGACCCTGTCAATACCGTTAACACAATATTTTTTGCAAACAATCCCCGATAGTTACACTAAACTCCATCCCCCACAAACAAAACCCAAAAGAAAAAAAAAAAAAGAAATCCAACGGTTTGATAACAATCCTTGCGCCATCAAGAGAAAAAAAATCCCCCCGTCATATCAAAAATAGATAAACCAGCACAAAAGCGCAGAATAAAAAAAACCTCTTTGAAGATTTGAAACAAAACTCCAGTGAAAAAAAAATCCCGAAAGACCATGGCGACAGTCGCGGCAGATATGAAATTCAAAAAAGTAAGGCTTCATCGATGCGGCAAAAGGCTGTCGGAAAAAAAACATTGAAAAAAAAAATAAACGGGAGAAGAAAAAAAAAATAAACTCGAGGGAAGGGAAAAAAAAAGTAGATACGTTTGCGCCGTCATTTTTGCAGTTCACCCCTTGAAACTGGCACGGGGGGTTGGGGGTAAAGAGAGAGATCGCCGGGGTCGTATGATTGGAAGCGAGGGGTGGTCTCCCATGTACCATAGGAGGGAGGATACTTTTTTTTTTTTATTCAATCCCCCCCATCCATTTCTCCTTCCCCCATTTTTTTTTCAACCCTCGGGTTCTCCTTTTCACCAGCCAGGTTTTGGCCTTTGGGGTGGAGTTGGGGAGTTGGGGAGTTGGGGGGATTGAAGGGGTGAAAGAGGTGGAAGGACTGGAAGGAGTGGAAGGAGTGGAAGGAGTGGAAGGAATGGAAGGAGTGGAAGGGGAGGAGGGGAAGAAAGGGGAGGAAGGGGTGAAAGGAGTGAAAGGGGTTGAAGGGATTGGAAGAACTGGGGGGGTGGTGAAGGGGTTGACGGAGGGGGGGTGAGAGGGTGAGGGGTAGCGAGAGGAACGTAGGGATACACTTCTTTTTACACAGTAGAAGCATCAGGGTGGAGCATTAGGTTTTGCAAAAGTGAGAAGGAGATATGGAGTCTCGTGCCAGAGACTGTGGATACCACAGTGGAGGGGAAACAACAGGAGAATTGGAGAAGTGGTGGGACCATGGAGAGGGGCAAAACTGGCGGGTACTGAACAAACTCCTCTCTGTGTGTCCGGAAAGTCCAAAACCGGCACACTGCCATGACAAACAATGTGTTGTACACTCTCGTTACGTACTTGTATCGTTGACACGCGTGTTCGTTATTAATTCATCAATTGATCCATTCAAATCGATAGAGTCATCATTCCCCATCGATTTCACTATTGCAACCCATTTTTTAGTCCCTTTTTGAATTTTTGCACGCCATTATTTTTCAGCATCTTGCATTTTTTATATTTGTTTTTTTTATTCTTTCGCTGTAGCGGTTTTGTGTGTAGAAGAAATTGTTTTGGGAATTGTTTAGCGAATTGTTTTGCGAATTGTTTTGCTAATCGTTTTGCGAATTGTTTTGCGAATTGTTTTGCGGATTGTTTTGCGAATTGTTTTGGATTTTTTTTTTGGGGGGGGAGTAGATTTGGAGTTTTGGAATTTTGGGATATGAAAGGGTGAATGGAGCGGTATCGGGGCACGTGATTAGGATTGAGATAGTGAATAATGGAGAATCGCGTTGGTGTTGGTGGCGGTATCACCGGTGCAATTGAACCAACGAGATGCGTCGGTACACCATCACCGGTACCAACTCCAACAACAGCGGTATCAACTGCTGTCACCACACCATCAACTGTAACAACGGCTATTACTGGTGTCAATAATGGAATAAACAATCAAAGTAATGTTGTTGTGCTACCGAGTCCACCAGCACCGACTCACTCTCAAAGTAACGTGCCAAGGATACTCAGCAGAAATGTCAATGGAACACGTGAGTCTGTTTATTTCTCCTTCCAATTAAATTAATCACTTATTTATTACCTAAAATTCATTATCTGAATTTAACCGACAGTTTTTAACAAAAAAAACCCGAGACTTCTCCGAATATTTCAATTTCTTCAATTTAAATAATTATTATAATTGAAAAAAATAGTGAAAATTTAAATGAAACATTAAAGAATTCTCAGAGAATTAAAAATAAAAACGAGATATCAAACGTAAAAAATAAAATAATCCAGTAATTCCAGTAATTTCCGCAATAAATTTCTGCCGGGGCTAAGTAATTCCATAAAAAAGTAATTGATCCCATTATATTATTTGATATATATTTACTCATCCCGACTCCCTAATGAGTCCTCGTTTGTACCTGATTTACTCTCGATGTAATTTACTTGTCAAGCGAAGTAACCTGATAAATATTTCTCCTCTTGTTCTCAATCTTCTCCCCTCGTTGCAATTTCCCTCGGTGAACTGTCATGTTTATTGTTTGACGTGACAAGACGAGACATGGAGTAACCAGAGCGATGAGAATAACCAGTGGAATGATAGCACGTGAAAAAGTGGTTCGATAAATTTTCGGTTGTAAGAAACAGAGCGAAATCGCATTGAGTTTTTCGTAAGTGATGGAGCACTGTTTTATATTTTAAATCAAAAACATGTATTTTATGTTCATTTGGAATAAACGTGTGTGTAAGTCGAAGAATGACTCACCCATCTCTTATATTTCTTTTGGTGGCACTCTTCTGGCCATCGGACTTTGCTGCAGATTAAAAAAAAAAGTCGTAACGACTTTGCAAAAAAAAAAATAACCAACGAAGTACGTTTTTCGTAGGCCACACGGAGGCCGCCGGCGTTGGCTATATTGCGAGATCACTTTTTGCCATTTTCTTGCCACGAGACAAACACATCTACACGTTTTATCCAGTATATATATGTGTACATATCGACGGACTTTTGCGACGCCAGTAAACCGCGCGCGCGTTGATAAAAAAGTGGTGGAAAAAAATTGGCGCGATGGGTGGAAAAAAAAAAAAATTGATGGTCTTGCGGTTTTTATGTTTTTCCCAACTTTTTTGCGCGTTTCTAGTTTTTTCCGGTCGTCTTCTCTCATGCGAAACTCTTGAGACGCTTTTTTTTTTTATTCATTATATTATTGTTGGTGGTTTTTTTTTTTTTAATTTTCAGCCTCGAAATGTGATGCAACGAATTCTTCGGGGTCTTTAGTTTTATGAATTCCTTTTTATCGTGCCTCTTTGATTGTTCGGTTCGATTGTTCCTGTATGCGCTTTGCATACATCTGGGTATATCTTGATGCTTTTTTTTTTTTTTTCTTTTAATGTACCCACGAGTTTACGTGGATGCAGCTGCGCACTGCGTCCTGGAATTATTTCGTGATATTTTCCTTTTGGTTTCTTCATTCCGTTTTTTTTTTAGACCGACAATTATTATGTGCACAGGATTTTGTTTACTCGGTACCGATGGGGTGCGATCTTGGGAGATAGGGATTTCTATCGCTGATTCGCGTGGATAAATCTCTATTGAAATAAGAAAGAGATTTTCATCGGTAATTCAAGGATCATGTGAAGTGATTGGATTAAAAATGAGGTTTTTCATTTTTTATTTTTTTATTTTTATGTTTTGTAAAAATTACTCAACTTTCAGTTCACTTATCGATTATGGAGTCGATTCGATCAATTTAAGGGATGGTGTCGTTATTTTTTTTATCGATTATTCAGATAAAAATTATGGGACTGCTCCGTAAAATTTTGACTTTAAATAAAAATTACATGATAATTCGGTAAAATTTCCGTGACTTTAAATAAAAATTACACAATCATTATTCATAATATTTTATTCATTTAATAATTATTCATAATATCATACAGCGATTATTCAAATAAAATTATGGGACTGTTCCGTAAAATTTTGACTTTAAATAAAAATTACATGATAATTCGGTAAAATTTCTGTGACTTTAAATAAAAATTACACAATCATTATTCATAATATTTTATTCATTTAATAATTATTCATAATATCATACAGCGATTATTCAGATAAAAATTATGGGACTGTTCCGTAAAATTTTGACTTTAAATAAAAATTACATGATAATTCGGTAAAATTTCCGTGACTTTAAATAAAAATTACATAATAATTCCGTAAAATTTCCAAAAACCACATTTCGCCCCAGAATTACAGAAAATATACGTAATTTTTATTGCATATTTCTCCCCGTGTAACTTCCGCCATCGAATTTTTCGGGTCTCATTAAAAAAACTGATCTATCTCCGCAATTATGTTGCCGGCAATTATTCCAACCGAAATATCAACTCTTCCGTGAAAATGATGAGTTTTTCTCGTGGCACTTTTCTTACGATCATAAACTAAAACTTTATGTTTGTGTTTTTACTCCTTGGAGTTACTGACAATAAAAAAAAAAAAGACGGAGGGGAGGGAGTATGATTTTTTGCAGGCAAGATTTACGAGATGAATTTCAGCTCGGGCAAACAAATTCCAAGAGTATTTTTTTTCATTCATTTCGCGTGATCATAAAATGAGGGAATGCCAAAGTATGTGGATCATTAGTGCGAGTATCGCACTTATGACGAAATCGATCTCAGGGGGAATGAGTTTCCCACAGGCGCTCTTCTGCATACATTAAATATGACGTTTTTTTTTCTATTTCCCATTTTTTTCCACCACCGGGGCATCCCCTTGTTATTTCCTTCGTGAGACATCTCTGTTTGTATTTTATTATTTATATCTTAAACAATGAGTGACGATCGGTCCCGATAAAATAAAGATCAACCGATTCCCGCATTTTTTTTTAAACAATTCCAAATAATTGTAATGAATCGTAATTGTTTATAAATAATTTATTCACATCCAAGATATTCAATTCAAATCTTATTGATATTTTTTATTGATAATTGATAAAGGGATAATTAATATTTATTTATTTGTTTACAATTGTAGAAAATAATTATTTTATATTTTCTAATTGATAAAGTGATAATTAATATTTATTTATTTCATTACAATTGTAAAAAATAATTATCTTCTATCTAAATTTCTGTTTCTTCAGTTTTTCATATTTTTTTAAATGGACGTATTAATTATTATAATTATTACTATTAATTCAAATTCTTCTAAATAATTAATAATAATTATTAATGGATTTGGTAGAGTAACAAAAATATTCGATTTAACAAATAGAAACTTGTCATGTCGTATCGTCCGACGGAGGCATGAGAAAAAGGGATGCGGGCCCCTTCTGTCCTTTTTTTTCCTCCATTTTTTTTTTGGCAACTTGTCTCGATTTTTTCCTCATTCCATTCCAGTGTGTAAAGGGGTGAGAAAGGGTTCTCGAGAGGGAAAGTGGGTCCCGCAGACTCATGCACCCATTTTAGGGCTGAGGGGGCACATCGAGGTGGGGATACATCTCCGACAGGTAGATGCCCCACACGACTGCCTCGTCGCATCCTCCTCGCGGATTATCACTAGAACAAAAAAAAAAACACCAAACTCGTTAATAAAAAAACAACCCTCTGTATAATCATCATTTTTTTATAATTATTCGACGTGGGAAAATTAGACGCCAGGTGCATTCGCCGTGGGACTTTTAACTTGATTTTTTTTTTCTTTTTTACAATTGCGATTATTTGAATTAACTAGCTCTTCAGGGATTTTATTTATTGCTCTGTTATTTGAGGTCATTAAATATGAATAGTGATCCGGTGAGATTGTTTTATGAGACGAATTTTAAAGGTCGATTCTAGGGATATTTATCGATTCTTGTAAATCGTTTCAACAAATTTATACGATCGTTTAGTCGATACGTGATACGAATAATTCAACCGTCGCACAAGTTTCCCGCGTTTATAAATCAGGGATGGGAATCCCGACGAGACGGAGCTTCTGATCTCGAGACAAAATCAAGCATAATCACTCATAAACCTTCAATTACCCTATAATTACCCCCAAATCCTTAAAAATAATAATTAATACCCTCGACATTCCCCAGAATTCCGCACCCGAGAGCAAACCGAAAAATTTTTCAAAAAACAAAAAACCGACGACTGAAAAAAAAAACCGTTAAAATCCGTTAACAAATTCGTGACTCGTTAACTGCTAAAAAACGTGTGGGGCAGCCATTTTTTCGGTGAAGTGCAGGGGCCTGGAGGCCGAGGGGTGAGTCCCAGGGTTAGAAATGGGCCGTACCGGTGCCCCAAACTCCACCCTGAGTGCCCCCAGGGGTAATTCCATCATCACCACTGGAAAATGAAAAAAAAAAGGGAAAAGTCGCTGCTGAAATGATGAAAACGAGACGAATGACGAAAAGACCGAAAGACCAGTAGTCGATGGGGTAAGTTAAACATCGAGGGATAGAGAGAAGTTTAGTAGCCGCGAGACTGAGTCCATCTGCCCGGTGTTTTGTCCGTGTAGATGGTGGAGGTAGACCCCAACAGCAAAAACTCACCTAACCCTTCCTTGATTACAATGCCAGCAAAAAGCGAAATACTAACCGCCGCCGACGCTCCTGGGGTTGAGAGATGTGACGAGTGCCGAGCCATTGGTACAGAAAGAGATGAACAGGCGCATAACGCCCCGGATCCTAAGAAACTAGACTCGTTTTTGTTGTAGACGAGCTCTCCGTGAAGTATCGGACAAAGAACATACAAACCCTTCTCTACCTTTCCTCCTACCAACATCATCCTCGTCGTTCTTTTTCTCTCGGCCATTCCCTCCCATTCAGCCCCCTCCAGGCTTCTCCCAAAAAGAATTCCCTGGGTCATTTCGCAAGAAAAAAAATTCATTCTTTTTTACACTTTTTACTCAACCCAA